ATGCGAATTCCTTTTTTCCTCTTTTTTTTTTTTTTGCATTTTTTCAAAGACTGGGGTGTGAATCCAGATAAAACTAGATGAGCGTTTTTTTTTTTTTTTTTTTTGGGGGGGGGGGGGGGAGAAAAGAGCAAACTTATTAGCAAAGCAGGGGACTGGGCCAGCATCCATCACAGAGTTCGCCGCAGCACTCAGGCTGAGCAAGGCTCTTCGGTCAAGCAGAGCCCTGGCCACAACGCTGACACAAATGTAACTCCTTTTTCCATATATGCCCAATCACTCCACTAGTCCGAGCATCTTCCGAACTTTTTTTGGGAGATGAGCGCATTCTGAGTTACCTGGCACTGGTCATCTGGACAATGATTTCTCTTCTTTTTTGGAGACAACTAGGGCGCAGTCATGGTTTGAGAATCCAAATGCATTTCAAACTGCCTTTTCGCAGTCCAGTTCGGTCCGAAGTTTACACTGCAGTCCAAACTCCGCTTTACAGAAAAGTCGCGCCACGGAGTTTGTAACTGCAGTTGAGTCAGGCATGTTTTTACAGAAAAGTCGCACCGCTTTACAGAAAAGTTGCACCACGGGTGAAAAGGAAAACGTGCCGTGGATGCACTTTCCTCCTACTGCGCCAACAACTAGCCCATGTGGCTTTCCATACAAACAAGCCTAGCTCAGTGAGTACACACCCATGAACTGATGAAATACAGACTCAGGGCACACTCACACTGCTGTACCAAATCCGCATAATCCTCGAAATCCCCAAAAAATAGTGTCGAGGGATACTCACACCAGGATCTCATTTCCCCAAACTACTTATTTGTGACCCCATTGACCCCATTTGTCAGCGGCCTGGGGGGCCACGGGGGCTGGAAATTTGTTAACCTCGGGAGGTTACCGCAAATTCCCTTTCTTTTTTTTTTTCCTTTTTTTTTTTTTGTTGAGAAAACAGCCCGATTGGATGCTAGAGGTGCTGATAGGAGCAGACACCGCTAGCAGGCTTGGGGAGGCTCCATCTATTGGTGGGGAGCAACACCTGCTGGAAATCGGGTCCAGCGTCCCTATACACGGAAGTTTGTCGTAAAGCGTGCCACGTGTCAAAGCCTAAGGATCCTAATCAGCTGGTAAGGGGACACGTAAGCACGCAGATCTCAGCATGATGAGCAGCATCAATCACCTCTGCCCATCTCAATGTAAGAAAATCATTATCCCTATTCAGCCGCCCTCATAATATTTTCACAAAACCTTACAGCGCCATGGGGGGGGGGGGTAGCCAGAATAGAGAATTTAGAGAATCTAATATAACGAATCGAACATTCCAGAAGCTGCATTAAACAACCTGGACTACCCCAAGGGCTTAACACCACTGTTCTTCCTATGAAGCCACGTGGTGAACTCACAACACTGCCAACTAGAATTCACCACATGGCAATACGTCACATCCGCCGGAATCGCAGGTTATGCATACCCAAATTCGATTTATCAGTCACTTACCGGGAATAGAAGATGCAATTAAAGTGCCACCAAAGTATGAGTTCGCACCCCACCCTAAAATACTCACTTACCACCCAACGACCATTGAGCAGCATAAGCAGAAGGGGCATTCAAAGCAGGCCTCCCTTGCAGAGCCAAGCCCGTAGTACCCACGTGGTGAAGCCCTGATGGACCGCACAACAGAAATCGACAGCACCACGTGTCACGTGGCCAGACATCCCATTTGCAGTGCATGTCGCTCATACCCCGTTCGCACTCGACCAGAGCTACCCTACCAGTACCTGGCAAGTGTGATAGGAGAAACCACTACCTAACCCATCCCCTCGCGCACCCACCCCACCCCTAACTGTCTCCCACTGTGACGCCCAACCTCACGCCCAACGCAACTTCCTGATCGGAGTGGGATGTGGGCCTGGAAGTGCGAAAAGGGGTGTGCCAAGGATTTTTGGGAAAGTAGAGTCCCAGGTCAGAACTGGGATCTCCTGTGGCAGGATCTTTCGGGGGCACGAGTGCAATTTGGCGGAGAGGGCAATTTCGGGTTGCACGACAGATGGTATGCGCGGTTAGCTCAAGACCGAGCGAGCCATTGGTTTCGGGGACGGCGGTTCGTGGGCGGGTCCCCTCGGGTCGGTGGGGTTCCGATGAGTCTGTCTGTCGGGAGTTGCCACTTGGCACTGGTCGTCGCACGTTCGGGTTAGGCCTTCGGAACTTCGGGCTTCTCTGATTGCTGCGTTGTCTGCAGTTCCCGCAGGGTGTGCTGGGCCAGTAGGGGGCTATGGCCGGCCACGGGACGGCGCTGAGTTGGTGATACCGAAGGAGGAGGCGAAAGGGAGGGAAACTGGTGGTGATAACGACGAAGCCGGGGTGGATGAAGTAGTAGGTATGGTCCGGAGAAGGGAAATCAGAGCACCGGGGGTCGCTAGTGGTGGCGCAGTGAAATTCCCGAGGACACATTCGGTTCTCGGTTAGGCAAGGGTATCTATGTCGGAGAAGTTCGTTTATCCAAGGGGTGAAGTAATCCGGGTCGTATGATGAGTCGGAGTTCCAGGATCGCGTCATTGTGTCATTGTGGTGGTCCGTGGTGAACGCGATCGCCACGTGCGAGCACGTGCAGGCCACGCGAATTACGTCGGCTTGCGCGTGTTCGTGCGGGACGACGGCGCCGTTGCGGACCCCGGGATAGCTCCGTCAATCAGTCGGTGCGCCTGTGATCGACGCCCGGGGATACGTGTAAGTGCGCAACTCAGATCGCGTTTTACACGTGTCCTCGCGCGGCGTTCGCCAAGCCCAGCATCCGATCGTCTAATCACTCCGTGATGTTCTAAGCATGCAAGATACAACGATCACAAATCAAAAGGCAAGCAAAGACAAGGACATAATTATCGATTGCTCAAAATTCCTATTCTACACGCGAGTGCATCGAAGGCGACAAACAAAAGCAAGGACAAGGGTTCCCAGCAAAAAGATAAACAAGCAAGCATAGCATCCATACATTCATACATTCAGCAATCATACACACACAGTGCGTCCGAAGTGGAAATCGCAAAGATAAGTGCGAGCAAAAACCCAGGCCCAAATTTTGAGAAATTGAAAAACGGGCAAACTGCCCGGAGCCGAAATCAAAATTTATGTACACGAGACAGGAGGGAGAAAAGATAAAAGAAACAGCAAAACCGCATCCATCAACCTCAGCTCCCTCCTCCTCTCTCTCTCTCTCTCCGATGCGGACAATCCGTCGTCGCGCACCAACCCACGAAGCCGTCACCCCGCCTAGTCCTCCCGCACCCATCAGGTTCGCCAGCACCCACAGTCCGTCGTGGCCCGCGTCAACCCCGCGCGTTCGGCACCAGCTCGTCGGGTCGCCCGACTCCTGCTCTACTCGCCTCTTACTTCGCTCGTGTGCCGACCCTCTCTGATCGCGCAACCCCGAGCTTCCAACTTGCTGGTTAAGAGAGCTAGCTAATCGCGCAGCCGAAATTTATAGTGTGCATGCCTGCCCGAAGAGCACGGAATTACAAGGACTTAAAAGGAGGGAAGGGGGAGGGATTGCCTACATCTGCATGGTCTGATCGCGGCGTGGGGGACGTAGCCGCTCTCCACGCATCAATCCGATCATGCAGACCGCGGCTACCAAAAACGCAGCAAAAGAAAGAGAAGAAGGGCGGGAAAGACGAAGCGCAAGAAGAAAGATACAGTTACAATGGCGCCCGCCCAAAATTACAGTTACACACACGATTAAAGGCGCCGACTAATCAGAGTTCCGTTGCAGCCGCATGAAGAAGCACGTAGACAAAAAGCGTTGCGCGGCAAGGAAAATCCTAATTACGAAATTCCTAAATTCCTATCTAATGCGAAAAAGAAGGCACAAATTTTAGAAGAAAAGTCCGAAATTCCGAGAGTCATCGAGGCTCGACAAATTTCGAAAAAGATTTAAAAGAAAACTTAAAAAAGAACGAAGCGAATTCCCGCGCGATATCCGCGCCCAAAAATTTGGAATCGAAACAAAAGAAACACCGTCAACATTTATTAATCGCGCGCGCGGTGGCGCGGCAGCCATTCGGTCAACCAATCAATCACCTGGCCGTCCTAGGACACACCCAGCTCCGAACCTAACCATTCGAAAAGAAGCGACGAAAAAGACGAAAAAGCAAGGACACTGATGCAATTTCCCACCGATCCCGATCTCCCGTAATTGGCCTAACCTTCCCAACTTAGGACCCCTCATTGCAACTGCGTAGAAAGTCGCGCGTTACAGAAAGTGGTTCGTCACATATGTGACGCGAAGGGGGTTCCAATATTAGCAAGCTCCTGCTTGCTTGTTGACACGTGTCGATTTCTCTAATCGACCGACACACGGAGCTCTTCTTTCTATGCCACTTACTGTTCAATTGAGTGTGGACGTCTTCCAACATGGCATGCAAGCTCTACTACTATTTCCTCAGGAAGGGCTATTGACAATCCAAAAGGAGGGGGCGGGGGGGGTTACACCCGTCGTAGACTGACACGTGGCAGCCAATCATGCATCCGTGTAAAAAAGAGGGTAGACCCTTGGCGTTTCTTAGGAATGGCAGTCGGATCATCGAGGGTGGAGGTGGCGGATGGTGCAGGGGGAGAGGGGGCATGAATCGATTGATGGAGGGAGAGGCGAAATCAGGAAGGGTAGCGTAGTGGAAGGAGCAATGGATGTGGGGGAAGCGAGGGACCTCATGAAGATGGCGAAAAGCAGCGATGTAATCGGGGTAGATGGTAGAAAGGGTCCGTCGCAGGGCGGCGCGAAAATCTTCGTAGTTTTCGCAGGCGGGAATAGTTCCAGATATAATACAATATATTTTTATGTGGTCATATTCCCGCCAGTCTCCGCTAAACAGGAGGAGCACATGAAGGAGAAAGGAATCAACCACATAGCGGGTGGAGGCATGCGGATAAACGGAGACTAGAAGGCGGGTAGCGTAGAGATGGTAAAAAAGGTGATGGGGGAAAGGACACCAACCATCGGGGAACGAGGGTCTATCGGGAAGACGGGTAAGCGTGAGGTAGTCACGGGGTCAGAGAGAGAACGACCGGGGACAAAGCCCGAACGCCGAGATCTTGATGTAGACGAATGGAGGACCGGGACGGGGAGCCGGAGGAAGCTGGCGATTCCCTTCTTCTTCTTCTGCTCCGCGATCCCTCTGCTGCGGTTCCATCGTCTTCTTCTTCAGGCGGCTCCGGATCACGCCACGGATCCCCGATCGATGGATCGATAGGAGAGACGTTTGTCGAGGGCCGCTTTCCCTCCGCGGTCTCCTGGCGCTTCCGCTTCCTCTGCTCTTCCTCCTCTTCGTTCTTGTTACGCGGCCGGCTCCATCCGCTAGCTATCACCGTTTCTCTTTCCGGGTCGTAGTCTGGATCGTCCCGTTCTTCACTCGATGGCTCCTCTTCTTCCTCCTCTTCCTCTGCTGCCCTTATCTCCTCGTCCTGCGCCGTGTTTCTCCTCACGATCGGGTCCCAAAACGTGAGATCGGGAACGTCGATCTCCAAGTAAAGCTCCTGGGAGGGATAGAGACAGTTGTCCTCGTCAATCTCCGTACACGTGGACCACACAAGGTGCGGCTCGAGCGTTCGGGACAACACGTGGGTGCCAGGCTGCTCGTCACTGCGTGATAAGATGTCTAGGGGCAGATCATCCACCAGCTGAGCCAGAAACACCAGCAACTCATCCGTGATCAATGTGAGATTGCCTTCCTCCACCTTCTTGAATACGAGTCCCAGCAGATCGCCCTGCTTCACAGTTCTCCAGGCTTGGATGATCAGAAGCTCCACGCTGTCCTCTAGGTGCTCTGGTCCTTCTCCGAACGGGGCCCCTCCTGACCAGCGAAACTCTATCTCCAATAGACAGAAAGCGAGCTCGATGTAGTCCTCCCACCACGCGTCCCACTTCTCTTCGCTCAATAGCGGCGCACTGTTCTCCTTAATACGGTAGGAGAGAGTAGGGGTCCGCGCAGACTGCCAAAGGGTGGGAATGCTGGAGGGGAGGCCGAAATAGGAGACGCGACGATACCTCATTGGGGCGGCGTGAAGGGACGAAGCTCAGGAAGCACGATCGCTGGCGACCCTCGAGACGAGCGGAGCTGGAAGTCCGTGTCATGCGCCGGCACGACGGTATCTCCTCATCGAGCAAGGAGATCTGTCCACGCTGCCCGCACTTCCCCGGCCCAGGCGCGCAAAGTCCGATAGATGTCGGGGTGAATCGTCGACGGGATCGCGGTGATATCCCCTGTAAAGACAACGACGATGGCGATATGGCTAATCCCGGGGGGAGATAGCCGTCGGAAGGCCGAGATCTCGGCCAGAAAGCACGTAGTTGCCTCCTCCGTGAATCGGAACTCTGTCGCCACGTAGATCGTCGCCGTGCTGAAGAAGGTTGTGAACCGGAGGATATCAGAGCAGAGATGGGGCCGCTGCACCTGTCGTATGACACTGATTCGCCCTCGCGGAGTAAGTAGCCGCGCGCCGATCACTTGCTCCGTTGCAAAGCTCATGGCGATGGTGACGGAGTAATAGAGAAAGAACATGAAGGAGACGGAGAGACAGGAGATAGGTAGTCGTTGCCCTCTTCCGCAGGGGAGGAGGAATCGGATGAGTGCGAAGATGGGGAAGGAGGAAGGGGACGAAGGTAGGACACGTGGCGGATGATCGGGCGAGCCGATCGGCTGCCGGAGACCTCGGGCGCAAGCCACACGGTATTCACGCCGTTTGGTCTGAGTTTGATCACGCGGAACCGCCCAAAGAATCGTGGCGCTAGCTTACCCTGGCCAGCACATTTCCTCACTTGCACGATGTCCCCTAATTTGTACTGGGGCTTTGGGCCTGCGCTCCCATTCTGGGCCTCGTAGCTTCGAACCTGTTGGCCTTGGGCCAACTCGGTCATTTTGTGCCGTTTTCGGGCTAGCCTGGGCAGGGACCGTTCCATTAATTCTAAGTGTCGTTTGGCCTTGTCCCGAGCCGTGGCCCTGGTGGGTCGCCGGTTCAGTGTAGATTCATCCGGGAGGCTTGGTATCGAAACGCAAGCGACGCTATTGGTCCTTAATCGGAAGGGACTTAGCCCCATCGATTCATGAGGTGTACCGCGATGAACCGCCAGGATGTGGTCGATGATATCGGGTCAGGGCCTTGGATCCTGTGCCGCGATATTTCGTCGCAACGCTGTCTTTATCACCTTGTTCGCGTTTTCTACCAGCCCATTGGACTGTGACATGTGGGGTGCAGTGTTCCGTATGACGACGCCATGTATGACCAGATTCCTCAGTACCTCTCCCCTAAATTCGGCCCCGTTATCGGTCAGGATCTCTTCCGTATCCTAGTGCATCCCGAGGAAACGATTAACGTATCGTGCGATTTCAGCGGCTTGCCGAGTGCGACAAGGGTAGGCCTCGATCCATTTTGAAAAATGGTCGACGAATACCAACAGGACTGAATACTCACAACTATTAGGACCAGGGGGCACCACTATGTCGGTAGTATCCATGCTAACTCTTTGAAATGACCGTTCAAATACCGTTGGCACTATCGATCTTGGCGGTTGAATCGGCGTTTTATCTACGGCGCAGACTTGACAGTTGGCGACGATGAACTTCAAATCGTCGTGGATATTGGACCAGTACCACTCATTTTTGTCGATAGCTGACTCTATGATCCATACGGCGAAATGAGCCGCAGTTTCTTCATGTGCCGTCTTAACCCAGTCGGTCGGAATCTTATCAGTCCGACACAAGGGGCACAACCACGGTTTACTGTCATTTCTGTATTGGATGCACGAGCCATGGGCTCGTGCGACACACTGTCGACAATCTATCCATTCCGCATACCCTTCCCCGTTAGGACGCATGGAGACCGAGTACACGCGGGGGATAGCTTCGCAAAAATAGCAAATTTGTTAGGCAGGGAGAGGAGAGACGAAGAGGAGAGGGGAGAAAGAGGAGTAGTGAGGTTACCTCTTTCACCCATGGTCACCGGCCTGCTTCTTGCCACGTGGGAGAACTGCCACCTGTCCGTACTTAGGCCCGTTTGTTAAGTCCGGCTCCTTCCACGGTGTAATTTCCTCGCCCTTTGGTACTTTAGCAGGTTGATGCAGACGTGTCAGTCCGTCCGCGTTGCCGTGTCGCTCTGTCTTTCGATGAACGATATCGAAGTCGTACTCTTGTAGTCGCACCGCCCAACGGCCAATCATGCCTGTGTAATTAGTGAGTTTCTTCAACGCCAGCAAAGGTTCGTGATCTGTTACGAGGCGAAACTTCTGTCCGTAGAGATACGGATGAAAGTGCTGGATTCCCCAGACTACTGCATAGCATTCGCCTTGAGGCGCCGAGTCGTTCCTCCGCTCGTCCGGTACCGTGCGAGACGCATACTCGATGACGTGTTCACGACCATCGTTCCCCTTCTGTGCTAGAATAGCGGAGATAGCTTCCGGTTGCCAGTCCGTGATGAGAATGAACTGCTTGAAGGGGTCCGGTCGGATCAAAATAGGAGTCGTCGCCAAAGCATCCTTGAGGGTCGTGAAGGCCTTTTGGCACTCCGCGTCCCAACTAAGAGGTTGGTCCTTCCGTAGCAGGTTCGTTAGTGGTCGTGCAATCGTGGCGAAACCCTTGATGAAGCGGCGATAATACGATGCCAACCCTGAAAAGGCTCGAACCTGCGTCAGTGACGTGGGAACTAGGGCTTCCCTTACCGCCGGGACCTTTCTTGAGTCGGGCGGCAGTCCTCCATGTGTCACGACGTAGCCCAAGAACAAAATTTCCGAAATAAAAAAATCGTTTTTTTCGAGCGCGATTTTAAACCCAGCATCTCTCAGCGCTCCCAATGTCCACTCGATGTGTTGCGCGTGCTCGTGATAGGTCTCCAAGTAGACAAGGATATCGTCCATGTACACGATCACGCTGAAGTTGATCATTCCCTGTGTTAGCCGCGTCTTGTTGACGAAGTTATGGAATGTCACGTTCATCGCTCGCTGAAATGGGGCAGGCGCGTTGCAAATCCCCATCGGACACCGAACCCACTGCCACGTGCCTTCGAAAAGCACGAAGGCCGTATTTGGCCGATCTTCCTCCTTCACCAGAATATGATGGAAGCCATGCCGAATATCGAACTTGCTAAAATAATTGGTGCAACCAATCGCATCCAACAAATCATCAATTCGGGGGAGGGGATACACATCTTTAATCGTGATTTCATTCAACTTGCGATAATCGATGCATATGCGAATTGATCCGTTTTTCTTCGATACTAACACTATGGGAAATGACCATGGTCCGGTGGCAGGTTCAATCCACCCGTTTGCTTCGAATTCCCGTATTCGTTCGAGAGCCTTCTTCCGCTCTATCAGGGAGTATCGGTAGGGCTTGCAGTGGATGGGGGAATGATTGCCCGTTTGTATTTCGTGTTGAATTACCAACGACAAGCCAATGTCAATGTCGGTTGCGCTAATCGCTCCCTGATATTCTATCAGAATGTCTGCAATAACTCGGTGTATCTCATCAGGTACGTATTGTGAAACGTGTAACTCAAAAGGTTGGTCCCAGATCCGTACGTCGATTTGCTTGGTGCGTGCTTGTTTCGCTACATCGGGCGGTGGCGCAGTGATGAACGAATGGTCCGATCGCCAGGAGAACACCGTGGCCATCATCTGGGCGTCTTCCTCCCGGATGGCTACGTGTCCTTCCGGGGTGATCCCATCGCAGATATCTTGTCCTGGCACCGTTTTAGTTGCGATCCTTATTCCGAGTTCATCTGATTCAGCCTCGAGACGCCCAGGGAGTTCCAAAGAACTGGCCTCCGCCCCCAGTCGTAACAGTCGTACCTCTTTTGCAGGTGTCAATAGGGACTTAGGTAGATCCGTTATATCGCAATAGTGTTTCTTGTCGTTATATCGGGGGAGGAGAGGGGAGGTTCCTTCGTACAGGGTTTGAGGGGGTTCCCAAGAATCGACCATCCTCGAAATTTGTACGAGGGGTTCACCCAAAATCATCGCCTTGGTTCGTTGGATGCTTCGATTAGTTAGGTGCATTGTTCTTGTGATCGTGCGGGGCGGCGGGTAATAAATACGCTGTCGCGCTAGCTTCAAGATTTCTGGATCATTTTCGTCACTGCTATCTGCATCCTTCGACGATGGCTTATTGTCTGTAGAGTCTTCCCAGGCGATCATACAGAGAGTCCCTGCTAACATCGGCGAAACTCGCGGAACCTCGTTAATGGTAGTACGAAGGGTCAGTCTCATTGGTACAACATAGGGCTTTCCTCCTGTATTTCGGAGGATGATTGATCGTCGTTCGAAGTCCAGGTTCGCTCGTAATGCCACAAGGGCGGGAAGTCCGAATAGAACGTTGTAGGTATTTACATCTAACACTACAACATCCCCAAGTGCATGCACCTTTCCCAACCAGAAAGCGACATTGGTCATTCTTCCCACCGTTTTAATCTTCTCTTCATCCGCCCATACGAGCTGATCTTTTTCCGAAAGCATGATCAGGTCGTTTTTCCTACCTGCGCTCTCAACTACTCTCAGCGAGATAGCCAAAACAGCGGCTCCTGAGTCGATGATTGCATTGTACGGAATTCCCCAGATTTCGATGTCGCATTCCGCAGATTTCCAGAGGATGGGTTTAATTTTCAGGAAATTATCATATTTTTGTATTAGTCCTACCCGTATCGAATCCGACGAGTCCGCCATGTTTTCTTCTGGCGAGGGGCTTTTGATCTTTATGTTCGGCGTTCGAGCGAGGGCGAATCGTTTCCGATTCGCCTTGCAGTGTTGTAACATCCGCTCATTAGCCTGTTCCGAGATCGAGAGCAAATGGTCGATCGGGAGTGGAATCCGATGGTCCAACGCTCAAACAATGTTCAATACATCAATTTCCCCAGTGACGAAGGTGGGTCCTCCCGACTCCATCTCGCCGGGAGAAGGTCGCCACTCCGCCACCTCCTTCTGTTCCGGGGCTGGTCGGATTGTTCCGATCATTCCAAGTCCCGGATAACCAAGCGACACGTATTGATCTAACAGAATGAGCTCAGCAGCCTCTTTCGTGGTTGCTAGCGCACTTCCCACCCCTTCCATTTCTTCCATGAGGGCTCCTACCCTCCCTGGTCCGTTAGCGATGGGGGCCGCAGCCATTGGTGCGACCCCGACCCGTTGTTGCGGGGGTCGGTGAGGACAGTCGCGGGCCAGATGCCCTGGCTTATAGCATGCATAACAAACATTCAGATTGTTCGCGGCTCCTCCGAGGGCAGGCGCCGGGGCCAGTCCTTGTTGGATCGGAGGGGCGCTTACTGCGATGGGCCGCATGTTCCTCACCATAGCTTCCAATCGAGCATTATGCTCCCGTTGTTCCTTTTTGCTTTCCTGGATTAGACTAACCAATGTTTTGGTCAGTTCGAGTATGGCAGTTGATTCATTCGATCGCACGGGAATCTCAACTGGGGGCGGGGGTGTCGTTATTACTGGCGTTGGCATTTTAGGAACAGGGACACTCGGAATCTCACTTGGAACCAGTCGTTTAGGGGCTATCTGTTCCATGTAGGTGACAGGACCTGACACAAACCCCATGTTTTCAAATTTGTTTTGCAATGTAGCCAGTTCAGCTCTGGCCCTTACGAGTTCGGACGAATCCCCTTCCCTAGAGTAGTCTTCTCCTTCCAGGAAATTTGCCGCGAACTTCCGTTCCATCTCTTCCGCAGCGGCCATGATCTGCTGCAGGGTATGATTAATGGGGGAGAACTGCTTTCGCAACTTCACTCTTATCGTTCGATTGCGGAGTCCGTCTATGAGCAGATCTCTCCCTACTTGCTCGCCTCGCTCAGTTTTCACAAACATTCGGTAAACCCGGTTTCGATACTCCGCAACGGACTCGAGAGGTTTTGCACTCGGTCCTTGTTCATGTAAAGTGCTTGCTCTGGGTGAACATAATCAAATCAGTTCAGAAAGTCTCGTTCGAAGGTCTGAAGATCTACCCACATATAGGTACTAAACCACTGATGAGTGTCTCCTCCTAATCGAGCGGCGATGTTTACCTTGGCTTCGTTATCGTCATACTGCTGTGCTCGGAGCGTGGCCAACCATGGTCCTACAAGGAGGTGCGCAGGGTCAAATAAATATAGGTCAGGTGGCGTCATGGGAGCCCGAGCTCGTGGGGCGGGTTGATTAGGATTTGGTTGATTAGCATTCTGTTGCGGATTCGGGTTTTGCACATTAGCAGCCGTGTTGGCTGCCCGTCGATTAGCTGACCTACTCCGGGTGACGATGGGGTCGCGTCTATGTGCGTTCCGGGGCCGAGGGCGTCCTCGGTTAGCCAGATCGCCCAATTAGTGTGCTCCCAATCCTAAAACCCGGCCACGTATCGGGCTCCGATACCAACCTCACGCCCAGCGCAACTTCTTGATCGGAGTGGGATGTGGGCCTGGAAGTGCGAAAAGGGGTGTGCCAAGGATTTTTGGGAAAGTGGAGTCCCAGGTCAGAACTGGGATCTCCTGTGGCAGGATCTTTCGGGGGCACGAGTGCAATTTGGCGGAGAGGGCGATTTCGGGTTACACGGCAGATGGTATGCGCGGTTCGTTCAAGACCGAGCGAGCCATTGGTTTCGGGGACGGTGGTTCGTGGGCAGGTCCCCTCGGGGTCGGTGGGGTTTCCATGAGTCCGTCTGTCGGGAGTTGCCACGTGGCATTGGTCGTCGCGCGTTCGGGTTAGGCCTCTGGAACTCCGGGGTTCTCTGATCGCCGTACCGTCGAGAATTCCCGGAGGGTGTGCTGGGCCAGTAGGGGACTATGGACGGTCACGGGACAACGCTGAGTTGGTGATACGGAAGGAGGAGGCGAAAGGGAGGGAAACTGGTGGTGATAACGATGAACCCGAGGTGGATGAAGTAGTAGGTATGGTCCGGAGAAGGGAAATCAGAGCACCGGGGGTCGCTAGTGGTGGCGCAGTGAAATTCCCGAGGACACAATCGGTTCTTGGTTAGGCAAGGGTATCTCTGTCGAAGAAGTTCGTTTATCCAAGGGGTGCAGTAATCCGGGTCGTATGATGAGTCGGAGTTCCAGAATCGCGTCATTGTGTCATTGCGGTGGTCCGTGGTGAACGGGATCGCCGCGTGCGAGCACGTGCAGGCCACATGAATTACGTCGGCTTGCGCGTGTTCATGCGGGACGATGGGGCCGTTGCGCACCCCGAGATAGCTCCGTCAATCAGTCGGTGCGCCTGTGATCGACGCCCGGGGATACGTGTAAGTGCGCAACTCAGATCGCGTTTTACACGTATCCTCGCGCGACGTTCGCCAAGCCCAGCATCCGATCGTCTAATCACTCCGTGATGTTCTGAGCATGCAAGATACAATGATCACAAACAGTTCGATCCAAAGGCAGGCAAAGACAAGGACATAATTATCGATTACGCAAAATTCCTATTCTACACGCGAGTGCATCGAAGGCGACAAAAAGCAAGGACAAGGGTTCCCAGGAAAAAGATAAACAAGCAAGCATAGCGTCCATACATTCATACATTCAGCAATCATACACACACAGTGCGTCCGAAGCGAAAATCGCAAAGATAAGTGCGAGCAAAAACCCAAGAATAGCAATTTCGTCAAAACGGACATATTTTATTTTTTGAACGAAATTGAAAACTAAAAAATTGGCCTGATTTAGATCGATATTTTCAGCTCCAGGGGGTACGGCGTTCTGAAAACGCCCTACCCCCTGGATGCAAACTAAGTCCAGATACATTCAGGGGGGTACGGCGTTTTCATAACGTCGTACCCCTTGGACTTCAGCTAAGTCCAGATACATCCAAGGGGTCCGGCGTTTTAAGGACGCCGGACCCCCAAGAGCTTGAAATTTCCACCTAAATCTTTCTAGTTTATGAAGTTCAATTTCGTTAAAAAAATAAAATATGTCCGTTTTGACGAAATTGTTGTTCAAGCCCAAATTCCGAGAAAATGAAAAACGGGCAAACCACCCGAAGCCGAAATCAAAATTTATGTGCACGAGACAGGAGGGAGAAAAGATAAAAGAAACAGAAAAACCGCATCCATCAACCTCAGCTCCCTCCTCCTCTCTCTCTCTCTCCGATGCGGACAGTCCGTCGTCGCGCACAAACCCACGAAGCCGTCACCCCGCTTAGTCCTCCCGCACCCGTCACGTTCGCCCACGCCCACAGTCCGTTGTGGCCCGCGTCAACCCCGCGCGTTCGGCACCAGCTCGTCGGGTCACCCGACTCCTGCTCTACTCACCTCTTACTTCGCTCGTGTGCCGACCCTCTCTGATCGTGCAACCCCGAGCTTCCAACTTGTTGGTTAAGAGAGCTAGCTGATCGCGCAGCCCAAATTTATAGCGTGTATGCATGCGCGAAGAACACGGAATTACAAGGACTTAGAAGGAGGGGAGGGGGAGGGATTGCCTACATCTGCATGGTCTGATCGCGGCGTGGGGGACGTAGCCGCTCTCCACGCATTGATCCGATCATGCAAACCGCGACTACCAAAAACGCAGCAAAAGAAAGAGAAAAAGGGCGGGAAAGACGAAGCGCAAGAAGAAAGATACAGTTACAATGGCGCCCGCCCAAAATTACAGTTACACACACGATTAAAAGCGCCTACTAATTAGAGTTTCGTTGCAGCCATATGAAGAAGCGTGTAGACAAAAAGCGTTGCGAGGCAAGGAAAATCTTTATTACGAAATTCCTAAGTTCCTATCTAATGCGGCAAAGAAGGCACAAATTGCAGAAGAAAAGTCCGAAATTCCGAGAGCCATCAAGGCTCGACAAAATTCGAAAAAGATTTAAAAGAAAACTTCAAAAAGAACGAAGCAAATTTCCGCGCAATATCCGCGCCCAAAAGTTTGGAACCGAAACAAAAGAAACACCGTCAGCATTTATTAATCGCGCACGCGGTGGCACGTCAGCCATTCGGTCAACCCATCAATCACCCGACCGTCCTAGGACACACCCAGCTCCGAACCCAACCATTCTAAAAGAAGCGACGAAAAAGACGAAAAAGCAAGGACACTGATGCAATTTCCCACTGATCCCGATCTCCCGTAATTGGCCCAACCTTCCCAACTTAGGACCCCTCATTGCAACCGCACAGAAAGTCGCGCGTTACAGAAAGTGGTTCGTCACACCACACCCTTCCAATCTGCTGAGCGGACCATTCCAACGACCCCTTTGCCCACCCCCCAAATTGTCAACATGATTGCAAGGAAGAAAGGACAGCAGGGGAGAGAAGGAGGGGTAAACAAACACAGAAACCCCTACCATACTTACCAAACTGCCGATATTGATATTCTTTATGCGGTTGTCGTTGTTGTTATTAATATCATTGTCGTTATCACTGTTGTTTTTACCGCAATCCAGCGTGCACGGGACCACGATTTCGTCATTCGCACCAGTGTCGTGCTTGTCGTTGTTGTTATTAATGTCATTATCGTTGTCACTGTTGTTATTATCGCAATTCAGCATGCACATTGCACCAGTGTCGCGCTCGACCGTCGTAATCTTGTCGATGCCCACAATCCCTGCGTCGTGATTGCTGTTGGTGTTGTTGTTGTTGTTGTTGTTATTTTGTTGTTGTTGTTGTTGTTGTTGACGTTGTTGTCGGACAAGCCCAAGCTGACGATCCCTATGTCTATACCCCGGACCTGCACGAACATGTTGTTGTCAATTGCATTTTTATCAGTAGCGAGGGCGATATCAACACCATTTCGACCCTCCTCCAGCTCGTCACTACTAGTGGTGCACGCGTCGGTGTGATCCTCATCTTCCGTCTCGAACAAGTGCAAGTAGAACTCCTCCTCCAGCGCCGCGTACACATCTTGCCCCTCCGCGAAGATGCCGTCGCAACACCGCTTTATAGCCTGCAGTTGACCATCCATGAGTCCCTCCATTTGCAGATGCTGCAGCTCCCAGACAATCTGCAACATGTTCGACATCACTACCCGATACGGCGGACCCGATGAAGCTGCCCCCCCAACAGCCTCAGGTCTAACTCTCAGTTGTGATCGAAGTGCCTCCACTATCTCCTGTAAACGAGAACGAGCTCCTTGAATGAATATGAGCCAGTCGGTGGCCCCTCGCTGCTTGTCGCCCATCGAAGCCATCTGTATACCGCGATAGAATTCGCGCCAACGATCTCCCACGCTCCCTACCAACCCCACATCTAATGGGACTGCCACGTCAGTGTCACCGCTAACTTGAGGCAGGACGTGCAGCTCAAGCTCCCCGCGTTGACCCCCGCAGGCGCCCGATCGCATGGAAGGCAGCGGGGCCCTGCCGGCTGCGACCACACAGAGTGTTAGTGCTCCTTACGCAAATTCCCTTTCTTGTTTGGAATCAACCTGCGGAAATGGAAAGAAATTCGAAGACAAAGATCTTGCCACGAAATACGATCTCGCAGAGTGACATGAGCAGTCAAAGAGGACCCAAAATCAAGGCGGCCGCAACCTTGTCTGTTGCGAAATGGGGGGGCAGTGTGACCGGTCCAGCCACTATTTTCCCAAATCGGGCATCCCATTTTTCTAAGAAAACATGATTTTGGGTACGCAGCGTGAGTGTGCCCTCAGATGAGTAAGGTAACTCTGAAAGTCATTCGTGGGGAGCGCATGTGCGGGGAACTGGGCCCACCGTCCCATATATACTAAACTAGCTTGCCCTGTTATTAACATATTTGCCTTATTTGTATCTCCCCTACTCCTCACTGTGCAGAAGAGTGTACTGGATGATTGAGGAGGCGAGTAGGGCAGAGTTTTATTTAGCACAAAGCGGGATTAATTCTTCCTCACTGGGGAAGCAATCAATGCCCCGTGATTATACTACATTGGTGTTATACAAGGAAGCTGTCGCCAGGGGAGCAGTGGCTGAGGCTCTTCCAGCCCTAATAGGAAGAGGCGTGTGGTTAAATGTTGTAATCAAATTTATAATTGGAGCCTTGGGCACTGGGTCCTTTTCTCAAAAAAAAAAAAAAAAAAAAAAAAAAAAAAAAAGTCTGTGTATACTATTCATCCATATGGGTCTAGTGTATTTAAGGAGTGGCCGCCTTGAGGTTTCACCTTCAAAGTTCAACTGACCGGCCCAGGCACATTCAGAGTTGTCTTACTCATCTGGGTCCTGTGGGATTCAAACTTTTGAAGGTGATACCTCAAGGTCGCCACTCTTTGATAATTTGGGGTGCGGCGCTACCAGGAGCGCTGCGCCCGCCCGAGTTGAAAGGATGGGTGCACTAACGCTCGTTGAGACGGAAAGCTGTGATGGCGCTCGCACGAGGGCATGGCGGGTCAATATCGTGTGTGGCGATGGCGCTTTTTAGAGACTTTCATGGATGTGGAGACAGGAGGGGCGTGTGGTTTCAGTAGTCGTGTGGGGGGTGGGTGCCACATGGCATAGGGTTATGAAGGCACTCTCTCTCCATCTTCTGTGTTTAATCTTTGTCTCTCGCTTCTCCAGCTCTTTGCTGTCATGGGTTATTAGATTGGGACTGAATTCTTTGTGAAGTTGTGTTAATGGGCTTGACATGGTCATTCACAACGCAACCGCGTTCGGGGAGTAACAGGGAGGGAGGGGCGTCCCACTAATCTCTTCTGGTTGGTGCATTTTGCCGTACAGCTATACTAGCACTGGTTATGGGGAGGAGAAGTGGTTCGTTCTTTAGAAAGAGGCAGGGGCTGAGTTTGTTCTGAATAGCGGTTGGGCAGCTGGACAAGGGGACTGCGGAAGCGGAGCGGTGCGTGATGGTGTGCAGCGATTGGTGACTTCAGGTGAAGTTCAAGGTGGCGTCACGTAGCGACAGGAGCTATAAGTGCAACATTTTTTTTCAAGATTTAACCCTAAGTACTACTCCATTGGATTATTTGATGGTTACTGATATGTGATTGGTGGTGGTGTTTGATTTTGTTTGGTAAATCGAAATCTAGTCTGTTTTCTGATATCTTATTGGATGGTGAATTGAATGTTGCTGATCTCAACATTCGAGGAATGACATATAAATCTGATTATTGTCTAATTCTCAATTCGTAATTATTTTTTTCATAGATTGATGGTCGAAGTAACAAAGTTTATGATCGCCTACTTTGTTTTGTATCCATATAATCATCTAAATTAGTCTTCAGATTACACATCCTTGGATTCGAAAATCAAAGCCGTATGACTCATAAGTTTATTCGGACCCAAAAAATAATCTCCTATTCTTGTTTTCCAAAATTCAGCCGCAATGTGATGTTTTGTGCTTCTGATGTCAGAATCTGCGATTTCAATAAGTAGAATCTTATTTTTGATCTAAGTTTTGCTTTTCCTGAAACAATTTATGTGCATGGATATTGATCTTCTCATCGAGTTGAAATTTGAAAACCCTAAATTCGTAAGTGTCGGAATTTCGCCCTGCAGAGTTGTACTCTAGTACCATGTTTTTGCATTGATTGTGTGTGATATACTTGGATTTGGATGATAAGTTTTTTTTTTCTCCAGCTTACCCCTCCATGTTGGGGTTGTAGGCGTAAGCGTCGTTTGGCTAAGTGGGGTTAGTAGTTGGAGGGATATGACGCGTACTGGTGGCGAGGGGGCTAGTTGGTAGGATGAAAATAGGGCACAACAACGATGAAGATGGTGACTCCACCGTGATAAGTCTTGCTGGAGTGGAGATTAGGGAGAGGGTTCAGGTGGTTAGGGTATGTCGAGCACGACCAGTGCACTAAGGGAGCCAAATATTTTGACACCTTGGTTGCGGTGGTGGTGTTCAGCGGATCGTCCGACGACGGGTTTCACCATTACATCCACGAGTTTAAAGTTGGCCAATGCCAGAACGACGCTGGCTGGAGCTGGGGTTTGGTTGCACTGCCTTGTAACCTGAGGTTTGTGGGGGTTAGAGGCTTGGTAGAGAGATTTGGTGAACTGTGAAGGGTGGAAGGAAGTGCAGTAGCTAACCGCGAATTGCTACTAAGACGATGCGGGTCGGAGCCGGGGTGGGTTGCGCCGCCCTGTAACCTAGTCGTTGGGGGCGTGAGGCCTGGTAGTGCTTGGTATCTTGGATAGGAAGGTTGAGGCAGCTGTAGGCTGGTCGGTTGAATAACACTGGTGTAACGCGGTTTTAATTACATCAGCTTTCAAGTTATCCTAATTGGTTCTCAAGTTTCACAAACAATTTTGTTGTTCTCGGTTGCTTTTGGCGGTCTTGAGAATGCGTTAGGATTTTGGGTACTTCTTGCAACCCACTTTAGGCTTCTTTGATGTTGTTCTAAGCATGGATCTGCGTTTTTTCGATGCCAGAACGACGCTGGCCGATGCTGGGGGGTTGCACTGTAACCTGTTGCTAGCAGGAGCGTGAGGCCTAGTGGAGAGATATGGGGATGCCTTGGGGGGGGCATTACAAGGGAAAACCAAGGGATGCTGTCGGGACAACGCTGGCCGGATCTGGGGTGAGTCGTGTTGCCCTGTAACCTAGCAGGGCGGGGCATGAGGCCTGGGAGAGTTCGGCAGGGAATAAGACAGTGCTAGAGAATTTTAGAGGGTTTTGTTAGGGTTTCTGAGCATTCGAAGGACTTCTGTGGCTTTCTTTTTCGACATAGTAATTGCTGCTATCCATGTTTTTCCTAATTTTTCCTAAACTCCTTTAATAGTTCTCAGCTTGTTCTTAGCCAAAGCCAGGTAATAGCCCTGGTATTTCAAATGATTTGTATAATTCTCATACTTGCGGCGCATCCCATGCGCGCCACTCCCGTACATGCGACGCACTGCGCATTGTGCACGTGGCGCACGCACCCGGTGCACCGCATGGGAAAAATTCGGGGTCAACCAAAAAAAAAAAAAAGTTGGGGAGAGGGTGAATCGAAGTTCCCACGCCCAGCTAAAATTCGGACATCGCCCGCACAAATTTTTTTCAGGGCCGCGTTGCCCCAAAAACTCAGTGTGTCGTCATGTTTGCTGTGCACAACTCGATGTTATCTCCAGTGTATCCGAGTCCTTTCAGAGGTCCAATTCAATCATCATCAGGACCTGTCTGTGGAACCGTTGCTTTCCTCTCATTACTTCCAGATATAGAAAACGACAGAACTGACAGTTGAGTTTTCTTGGTGGCTTTGCTAAAAAAAAAAAAAAGAGAGAGAGAGAGAGAACGTCCTTGACATCGGGCCTCGCTCCACTACTCTCGAAATGCACAAAAGACAAAAATCATGGCGGTGTATCTTTCCATGTTCTAGCGGAAGATTCACTCTCGTTTCGCACATTTCGAGAGTACTGGAGCGAGGCCCATCCTCATGGGGCGTGGCTCCGTTTTTGGACAACGGATACTCCGGCAATGGGCTTTGCTTCCCGTTTTTGGACAACGGATACACCTAACAATGGGCCTCGCTCCACCACTCTCGAAATGTGCAAAACGAGAGTGAATCTTCCCCTAGAACAAGGGAATATACATCGCCATGTTTTTTGTCTTTTATGCATTTCCGGAGGAGTGCAGCTACGCCCTAAGACCCTTCTAAACTCAGCTACGGGCGTGATTTCAGGCATTATTGCCGTCAGAGAAATCCTGCCTTCTTCCCTCGAATACAACATACAGTCATTATAGCTGTATCTAGACGGAAAGATGCCTCAGGTATAGCTATTATGACCGAATGTTGTATTCGGGGGAAGAAGGTAGTGTCAGTAGGAGATACGAGATGACCCCCGGGCTGTTTTTTTGCTTTTGTTTTGCTTTTGTTTTTCTAGACGTAGTTGTCTTTTGCCGTTCTTCTGACACTGCCAACATGATTGTATGCGACCTGATAGTAAATAGGATACATTTGGGGCAACAATGCCCTCCATACAGGGTCGGAACTTGGTTGGAGGGCGGGAACTCGGATCAAAGTTTACGACGGCAGTTGCCCTGCACTACACACACACACACACACACACACCCACCCACACACACACACACACAACCAAAAAAAAAAAAAAAAAAGGCCTGCGCACCAGTGGCGCACCAGCAAAGTTGCGCCCTGCACAGTGCGCTGCACCTATACGCTTTTTGTGTGCGGTGTGCGCACGTGCGCTCGCATCTCAGAGCCGTGCGTGGCGCAAGGCGCACCGGACCGCATGGCGCACCGCACTGGTGCGCCGCAAGTATGATTTTAGTAGTTTATCGGTAGTTGCGATGAGTTTCCCCCATAATCCTAATTAGCCACTT